TCTAAATTCACTTATTCAAACGTAACCTAAAATTATTAATGATAATTGAAAATCATAAAAAGAATATGACATTTATGTGCACTTAAAATATTTTTAATTATTGAAATAATTAACAGAAGATGACTGTACATTTAAGAAAAGTTGATTGTGAATTTAAGAAAGATTACTTATGAATATATAAAAAGTCAATCATAAATAAATAAATAGTTTCATGAATACTTACATTATAACTTGTCAATTTAAGAAGAATTACAGTGAATTTTTATAAAGCTACTCGATTGTGAATTTATAAAAAAAAAATTGGTTGTATATGGATATTTAACAATATGTAAAGCTTTAAAGCCGGCCCTTTGATACAGACCATAAAACCGAACTGGCCCCCATTAAAATAAAATAGGGACTATATTTTTATTAAAAAATTTACAATTCTTTTAAAAATAAAACTGTTGATATATGAGATCATATGGATGGGAAGAAGAGAGTTGCTCGACGAACAAAACGCACACGAAAAGAGACACAGAAAAGATATTTGACATTTGAGGCAGAGCATTTTTGTCGTGGATATGTGTAGCATATGGGGAAAAAAAAAGAGTTAGTTATTTTCTCCTACTCGACCCTAAGTAACTTGAAACATAATCACCTTCTATTTAAACTAATCTAAAACTCTACTGAATGAAATTGTTATTACCAACAGCAGTTCTCTTGAATATTTTGAGGATGCATTTGATATATTTATTTAATACGATCACATATTTCAAGATTTGAACTTTAGATTCAAATGTTTTAACTTTCTCATTTAGTGGCCAACCCTCCAATTTTAAATGAAAACGTGGCTATTTTTTATGTTCAGATATTTAAAAACTTTGTTAATGGACTTTTCAGATGAGCTTTGAAGAAATTTTGAGTAAACCAAATAATTTTGTTATTCTCGAATTCATAAAAGTTGTTTCCAAATGTAAAGGCCAAAAGCACCTCTTGCCTTGTACCAAGAGTCAAAAATAGAGGAAATTAAAAGAGGCTTTGTGGCCGGAACATAATTAATTTTTATAAAGTAGGGAGAGAAAACAATGAAGAATTGACTTATGGCTTGTTTGACTAATTAACATTTGGCTTTAGAAACTGCTTTTGAGACATTTTTTTAGTTAAAAAAATGAGGGAATTATATATATCTAAATTTTTGTTTGACCACACTGCCATTGATTAATATCTAACTTTTCAATATTAATGTATATTGAATTATTTATATAATTTTTCAGTATATCAAATTTTAAATTTTAAATTTTTATTTTTATTATTTAACATATTAAATTTCATGTTATTTAAAATTTTTATCACACATATCTTTCAATCATCTCTAATATGTTACACTTATATAATAAAAATTTCAAATCATGAAAACCAATGTATTTTTACTAATAATAAATTCAAAAACACTTTCAATTATATGAAATTTAAACAAATTTTAATTTATCAAACAAACTTTAAAAAAAATTGTTTAAATACAAATTTTATCGCAATAAATGAATTTTATTAAATTAACTTTTGTTAAATGAATTTTTGACAAACTAGTTTTCTGTTAATGAAAACTAAAATGAAGACTTAATCCACTAATAAAATGCAATCCCTTTTTAGGAAGAGTTTCGTATATAGTATAGTCCATGTGAATGTTAAAAGTGAATGAATTGTCATTTAATAATAAAGCAACTTAAAAGTTTGTGGCATGAAAGTAAAAAGAACGCATTAGCAAAAAAAAAAAAAATTTATCTTATGGAACATTTTCAAACTTTGTGTTCTCATGAATTGCTAAGTGGAGTTTTGAATATGAAAAGATAAAGTAAAGCAATCCACTAATGAAATGCAAACCTTTTTTTTTTTTACCTGCACGGGCAAATTAATTTAAGTTTCATAGGTGATAGAAGCACATCTTCATAGCTTTAGAGGTTCAAAGTCAATAATACTGATTTTGTGCTCTTTCGATATACATACACATAAAATAAAATAGATGGCAGGGTAAAATTATTCATTACGGAAACTAGGAAACTAAAATTATGACATTCTTACTTCGTGACAAGAGTTTCTCCATATCCTTTGTTTCATGAGATGTCATAATAAAGATTGAGTTAAATACACACATCTTTGCACTTACAATTCCTTTTAATTTTTTTTTCCTTTGTTCGTCAGGAAAAATAGAGATAAATAAAGTATTTTTTTTGAAAAAATTCATTTTTCTATCTTGCTTAACAAATTTGTAATTTCTTGCCCTGACTTTTTTTCCCTCTCTTTTGCGGATTTCTTTGGATATTCCACTTTAATCATTACTCAATTAAAATAGACAAACAAATTTTCAACATTCATTTTCCACTTCATGGATTTGGATTCAACCGATTCTAATCACCTATTCAACTTAAGATACACGAAGAGAATATTATTGCTAGAGACAAATCTCTCACCTTTTATTGAATTGGATTTGATGAAAAAGTTTCAAGGCTTGTTGTAAATGTTAAGGTCATTTAATTCAAATGATTTATGATTTGGAATTCTCTTTTATCAATTATCCAACAAAATCATTAAAAGACATATTCTGATCTCCTTCCTACATTTTAAATATAAGGTATTTCTAATTACTTTACCTAACTCAAGAAAAGTTTGTTATACCATTAAATTTACAAAAGAAAAAAAATAGCTTATGATTCAATTTTTACCCTTATTAATAAAAGGAACGTAAATATTATAAATCTTTCTCTCCTTTTCATGAGAGAATTTACAAGATCACTCATCAAATTAGAGGGACGTAACCATGAGATCACTCATCTATTATTCAGGAACTAGAGGACAACAGATTAGGAAGAATATATACTTGAATAGAGAAAAATTTAATATTTCAATAAGTTATTGAATGCGTTAGAATTTAACATTTAAGGAGAGGGCATTCATTAGGAACCCTTAATTCATTAGATGGCAAAATCATGTACTAGTATAATCTCATAATGGTCATTTTGAGTGCACAACTGCTACAAAGGATAAAATAAGAAAAGAAAAATTATATTGAAGTCTCACACAAAGAAGTTAATTATTATAAAGTTTCTTGACTACTAAATTAAACTGCATTAATGACACAATTAGTTGTCAATGCAGTTTAATTCAGTTGTCAATAAATTTTATAGTAATTAATTTTTCTATGTGGGATGTGATTGTAATTCTCTCAATAAGAAAAAGTAATTGTTGGGCCCTATAAAATAATTAACTAGATTAATTACTAGTCATTAATATTACTACTGCTAATTAATTAGTGAAGGACTCATCTTTAAAGCTTGTAGGCCCATCACGTAAAATGTGAAGCTAAGCAATTTTTGTCAAACCTAATAAAAAATAAGATAAATTACATTAAATTTCTATATAAAAAAATTAATTACTATAAATTTTATTGATAATTGAACTAAGGCTATTGAGGCATTGATAATCGATTGTGTTATTAATAGTCTTAATTTAGTTGTCAATGAATCTTATAATAATTAATTTTTTTATATAAAATATATATGTAATTCTCCATAAAATCTATGTTGCTACTTGCCACTCGGTAATTATGTTTGAATTATAACATATTTAAATATTTTATCCCTTTTAAATTTATAAAAGAGAGAGAGAGAGAGATAATTTCTGTCAAATTGCTGCTCCAAGCCGTTTCTCTCATCCATGACATTTACTGGACTCTAGGTTCTATAAAATGTAAATGGGAGTATGCTATTGGTTTCTAAACCAATAATTTTCTTAATACCGGAAGCTCTAGTTCTAATAAAATAAATTTGTGTGTAAGAATAATCCAGCATTCCCTGAAGAACGAGATGTGGATTTTTTTTATTTTAATGGAGTGTTATTCTAGAAACAAAATAAAATAATTTTCAAAGTATTCTTTTAAACTACTTACATTTTCCCATATAATATTATTATAAGTTAGATTTTTATTCCAATAAATTGCGCAAAGCCAAAAATAGGAAGCCATCTATACTTCCTATAAGCCTTATGTATGTATTGATATTGATGTTAAAATTAAGGAAATGTTTGGCATACGAAAATTATTTTTTAAAAGGGAAATGAGACAAATGCATTTTCCATATTTCTTTTACACAAAACACTTTTCTACCTAAACAAATGTAATCTAAGAGCCGATTTGAAAGTGCAGTTCAAACCTTCCAAATATGGTTTTGATCAAAACAACCAGTTGAAACGAAGCTTTATTATGATGATAATTGAAATCAGTGGTGGAGCAAGGATCTTGGGTTAGGGGGCAAAATCATTTACATATTCATAATTTAAAAAAATAATAGCAAAAATTATTTAATAATTACATAGCTTATAAATTTTTTCTACATGGTTTCATGTTTTTTAATCATTGAACAATTAGCTCATTGTCAATGCTTTCAAATACACTTTTTTTAATACAAGTCACAAGACAATCATTCATCTATAAATTTTTCATTCAATTGCATTATTGATTCTTCACAAATTTCATAGTAGAAAAGGCTCTTTCAACTCTTGCTAAAATAACAGGTAACACCATTGCTAATTTTAAGAGAAGGTAAATCAATGGATAAATAATATGTTTTCTAGTTTCACCTAATTTTTTCACAAATCTAATTTGAGATTTCAAACAACGCAAGCCAGGTTATATTTTTTTCTTATTTTCTTAAAAGTTTGATAAATGTTAATTTTTTATAAAATAATATTACTATTTAAATATATTGAAATTGAGGCTTAAATTTATTGGGCTTTTGAGTTTAAAAAATAATTTTGGATCTGACTTAAAAAGTAATATGATATGAGTTTAAAATATAAAATATAAAAAGAGGGGTATAAAATATAAAAAAGAGGATGTGTAAAATATAAATACCTATACCTCCATCTCCATGTAAGTAATTTTTCCTATTTGAGGGGAGGCATAAATACATGTGGCTCTGCCACTGATTGAAATTACAGTACTTGAATATAACATAAACCATCCAAAAGTAACTTATCTAAAAAAAACAAAAAACAAAAAACAGAACGGGTTAAAAACAAGTGCGAATTAATATGCGTGAAAATGTTTGAAATATATTATAACAAAGTTTGAAGGAAGTTAAAAATCAAATGAGCATTGATGAAGTAGTGGTATTAGGAAGAGGGATGCCTTGTAAGAAGTGAATGAGCAGAGAAAGAGCTCTTGCAGGCTTGTAGCTTGGGACTGCATGTCCTGCTCCTCTCACTGTTGCAAATCTCATGTCTCCCGCATACACTTGTGTGTATCCTCCAACCTGTAGTTTTATATGTTTATCATTCTCTATTTTGCATCAACCTCAAAAAAATAAAAAAAGCAAAGAAAGACAATGATAGGTTTTTAATGTATGTTTGGTGCATGGAAGTGTTTTTCAGAAAGAAAATGATAAATGTATCTATTAAAAAAACAAGATAGGTGCGTTTATCATTTTTTTTTTCTAGAAAACAATTTTCTACCTCTCAAGCATTACGTTTAGTTTATATATTTTGTTTTGAATCTTGGAATTAATGTCTACAAAAATTTGTCCTCTTCAATGTGTTGAGTTACTTTGAGAAACAATGCTTTTAGATGGTTGTGGCAATATTGAAAAAGAATATAAATTTTGCACAAAATATTTTTGGAAAAGCTACTACTAATTGAGATCAATAATGCCCGATTCTGACCCATTCAAATAGTCATATAAAAAAAAAGAATAAGAATTTGGATTCTTTCACATATGATAAAAATATATATATACCTTTATTATCTAATGTTATAGTTTCAAATAATAATTATTTCAAAGCATTGTAATTGCAGTATTTGACATTAAAACTTTAAATTGTTTGATCCAGGATTTTAGAATAATTTAAAAATTTAACAAATTAAATCCCCTTAAAATAAAATATTTTTTAATTTAAGGTTGTATGGTACTGTGAAGGCATAAATTACCTCTCCTTTAACGAACCAAGGATGCCAAGCCGTTTTAACAGTGAGATTCAGCTTCTCCATGGAATACTTGGTTGAAGTTACTGGCACTACTCCATCCACGTCACCACTGCATTATTTTTCACATCTTCTGTTAGTATTCAAACACACACAATTAGATCAGTTATACTATTTATAATTCATCAACAATGTATTTTTCTACATTTTTTTAAATTTTTATTGATATTTTGGCAGAGATCACATATACAATTTATAAATGAAAATGACAACATATACAGTCACAAGCTTTTATAAATATGAAATAATAATATCATGCTTTGCTCAAACTTTGGTGATTAAACGAATCACACAACTCAGAATTTATGATTAGTGCAGCATGCATGTAGGTGGTATTTTATATTGATGACATTAATTTACTGCAATTCTATAATTGTTAAAAATATAGAGCGACTATCAAGAAACTTGGAAAAGAGAACAAATAGACAAGAATAGCAAGAGAATACCCCATCTTAACTCAAAATTTCCAACTCAAGTTTATAAGTTCTTTCGTTTTATTATATTATATATTAGTTATTAAGCTTATATGTATTTAATGTGGAACTTCTCACATCGACTTAAGTATACGTATATTTGGACAATCTAAAATCATCTAGTAACAGCATGGTAACGTATACCTGAAAATCCAAACACGAAGGCTATGATCGAGGAACTCTTGTAAGAGTGGAAGAACAGTGGAAGGGCTATCAGTCCATTCGAAACCTCCACAGAGTGTCCAGTGATGTGTGAGTTTCGTGACATTGGCATGTAATGCCTCTTGCACCTCAGCCCGGTTCATGTATGCTTTCACATAAAATTCACTGCATGGGTCTATCACTGCCTATATCACCATCACCAAGCTCACGTAGTTTAGGTCAAATATATTGAGCCTTAGCTTATTTCTAATAATATGGATCCTACAAAACTAGTGTATCTTTCTACATTTTTATACCAATATTTTGTGAAGGGTAAAGTGAAAACTTGTAATTAAAAAAAATTAATGATATGACCTATGAATAGAATAAAAAAAAATTTTACACTTTCTCTTTATCTTATAAATAAGATTGAAAGGAGTGCGTGTGTGTATGTGTATATATACTCCTTAACATACAATATTTGATTACTTTACCCATTTTAAAAAATGTTCGTTACATTATTAAATTTGACCCTTAAAAAAAGAGCTCAAGATTCGATTTTTATCCTTATTTATGAATGGAAATATAAATATATGTTCATTCCTTTTCTTGAGACAATAATTTACAAGATCACTCGTCGAAAGTCTTAGAGGTAACAAACAGAATTCATTAGATAATATTACATAAAATCCGAGGTAATAGTAACAGGAATTAATGTTTTCGTACTCGTGTCTTATATATATAAACACCTCTCTGTTGATGTAGTTTTGTCTCTCTGCTAGTACGCAACCCCAAGAAATATCAAAGTGGGATGAGAAGTAGAATACTTACAGAGGTAAGCTTAGGGACGGAGGTGAGGTTGGAATCAATGCATTGAGGAGCATAGATGTTGAAGATATCGATGTTGTCAATATCTTCCTCTATTTCAGCCAAAGCTGCTCTACATTCACTGCTTTGATTAGAGACAGTCTCTGAGAAATCGCACAATTTGTTCACATCACGTGCTGCATGGTCTGATATTATGGCATGGCTTGCCAAAAAATCCCACACTCCTCTGTTGTCTGTATCGTCATTTATCACAGCATTCCCTATCTGCACACAATTTAAGGTTAAATCACGTACGGTCACTCAATTTAAGGTTAGAAGGATAGGACATACCAAGACGCCTTTGAGGTTGATGACGAAGGTGGAGTTTGGGTGGTGGTTGTGATGAAGAATGGTGTGAGCAAGTTGAGGAACATAATGGCCAGCATAACTCTCACCAGCAATGTAGAAATCAGAGGATTTATACTCAGGAAATCTCTCTAACCAATTTCTTAAGAATGCATAGTTGTCTTCAGCAGTTCTTTTGTCTCCATTTTTGTCATAATCTGATGTCTTGTTTGAGTATGAAAATCCCACTCCTGCTGGTGATTCCACAAACAATACGTTTGCAGCTTCAAGAAGAACATCATAAATATCAATCATTAGATGCATAGACACGCATGAGGAAATCAATATAATATAATATGAAAATTACTCATCTAGTCTTATGCAGTGTTCTGAAAATTGGAATCCAACCGGTTAAATTAGGAATAGGTCCCAAATCCATTTCAGTAATTGTAGGAAACCAACAATTTTGAAAACCAATCAAACCAGCCAAAACCGGCAATTTTAATATTATTTTTTTATTGTATATTATTTTGCTTGAAATTTAAATACTCATTCTTGTTACTATATATGATTATTTGTTGTTGCTTTAAACAAATAATATTTAAGATATTTCAATTTATTTATTATCAATTAGATTACAGTTTGACCATTAAACTTTGAACCATTATCTCAAATGATTTAATGGTTGATTCAATTTTCATAACATTGGTCTTATGTACTTTTGAATTCATTTATAACTTATTTACTAAACTTTAACTCATTTTAATTTAATTACTATAGTGTTGACTTGTTTGAAACCTATTACTTACCATTTTAACCACTTTAAATTATTAAGCTTTAAGAAATAACTTTATTTCTTATTATTTCTTGAAAATGTAGGGATCGTTTATACCAATATGTTAAAAAGTTAAAATTATAAAAGTTAAATTGCACCCGAATGAATTAAATTTTAACTAAATCAAAGCTAAATGAATCAAATGATCTATCAAGATAACAGGTACCGTGGTTCCATGAATATTCATTGGCGTGAAGTGTTTTGCCGTCACTATTCACTCGAAGGGGTCCCACTTCTTGCATTGCTCCGTATGCTAGAGACGAGCATCCTGGACCTGTAATTAGTGGCCCACACACCTATGAGATGTGTCGAACTTCTAATTAATTCCTGTGATCTACCTTTCAATCAATTGCATGATTATTGCATTAATTGGAACCACGTCATGACGTTTTAATATTCTCAGTCAACAGTCAACCCATTACGTGTAAGAACAATCAAAACCTTTTCTAACTCTGCAATAGACGCATCAAAACAAAATGGGTATGCATTTGACAAAAGCAAGAAAGACAAACATGTCATTCCACCGTGATTTCAGCGAGTTAATTTCTGTCTCCCACTTTTTTTTTTCTATATGGAATTTTCCCTCCAGGCTTTAATATAAGTGAAGTTAATTAATTTTGCATTTATTAAAAGAATATTAGTTATAATCTTGAAATTATAATATATGTATATATACTGTTTTGTGCAATATTTTAAAACATTTTTAATTGAATTATGTTCTTTATTTTTCTAATAAATTAGTTAATTATTTTTAAAATTATACTCTCTTTGCATGTCTATCCTCATTTAATAGTATATACCAATTAAAAAACCTTATTGATTATATCTCTAATTAAGGATAGTCTTGGGGGGAAAATCTCATTAATTGTGCATTGAAAGACTCAAAATGTAGAAATTCTTACATATAACTAGCGCACCATGTCATTTGTAAACTGTCCAGTTAAAATATGCCATATTAGTACAAAATGAATCAAATAAAATCTTATATATTATTATTGTTAATGACTTTATTTTTGGAATTTTCTGTCTTGTCTTTTCTTTTTCCATCATCATCAATGACACAATAAATTTACATATGCAACCATCTTACATGGCATATTTTTATTAGACAATTTATAAATGACATTGTACCTTGGGTCCATGTAAGACTTTATTTCTAAAATATCTTATATTTTTTGACATCTAACCTTATAAAAAATGCCTTATGTTTTTAACTTAAGGAGTATAACTCTGGGTTAAAGTACAAAAATACCCATCAAATATTTGACTAGGGGCATTCAGTAGTCAAAAATGAAAAAAATGACAAAAATAATCATAACATTATCAAAATTGGTGCAAAAGATGAAACTATTAACTTACCCTAACACCGTTAGTTTTTAGTGTTAAATGTTAACTGTGCTTATCATGTGTCAATCTTTATTGACATGGACTAGAAAAAAGGCAAAAATGCCCATGAAATCGTCGGCCAAAAGCATCATGTAGCCTAAAGTGAGAAAAATAGCAAAATATCCATAATGTTACTTTAGTATGTGCAATAGTGATCAATCTATCAAATTTTTTAAATGTTGACCATTTATCTAACACCTAAGCAAAAGTTGACATTTTTTTTGCTCGACAAAAATATTCTCAAATGGAATTCTACAAAAGTTGGTTGGTCATTGTATGAATACCATATGAAAAAATATTATTTTGATAAAATACAAGTTAAATTGCTTGCTTTTTTGTAGTAGTGCCAGAAGCCATTTAAGAATTTCAAACCTTATCATGAACAAAATTGTTTAAGTTGTGCCAATGTTTTTAAGGTAAGTGACGTAGGAGATGTGTATAATCACAAAAGTTTTATAAGTAAAGACAACCTTCTTTATAAAGTTCTTGCATTATTTGCAGTGAGTCACAACATATTCATTGTCAATCTTCAATTGTGTGCAATATATCTTATTAGGTTTTGCAGATAAGAAAAATGAGTGGATAGAGAGGGAGGAAGGAAGTGGGATTAATGGTGATGAAAAAAAAAAACCACGTAACATGAATTTTCACTAGATTGATCACTATTACACCTAATAAAGTAATGTTATGGGTACTCTTATCATTTTCTCACTTTAGGCTATTGGATGCTCCTGGTTGACGATTTCGTGAGTATTTTTGTCCCTTTTATAGTCAATATTAGCAAAAATTAACATGTGGCAAGTACAATCAACATTTAAACATTAAAAACTAATGGTGTCAGGGCAAATTAATGGTTTGATCACTTTTGCACCAACTTTAGTAACAATGTGTTTATTTTTATCTTTTTTTCTCATTTTAGGCTACTAAATGCCCTTAACAGATCACTTAATGAGTATTTTTGCATCTTAATCATATAACTTTTTAAATTTACCTTTCTATACAGTTAATAATTATAATATATTATTGTTTGGGAATTCAAATAACAATAAGTATATAAAGGGTAAATTTAAAAAAAAACATTAATTACTCTATAGTTTGCCGGAAAAAAATTTCATCAGACAACGCCTTACAATATTAAAGAGCCAAGGGAGCATTGTTGTATCCTACACGCAAGCCGTTTGACTGAATAGTAACATTAAAGTTCAAAAATAACACCAAAGTCATAAGTGGCTGAACAAATTAAATTAATGGCTAGTAAAACAATACACGTACCTCCATTGAGCCAAAGAAGAAGAGGCAATTTGTGCTGGTGAGGCTGTTGACCTTCAACAAAATAATAATAAAAAGCTCGCCCTGCAATCTTATCCACAGTAACATACCCTCCATATTGAGAGAGATTCACACCTTGAGGCTGTCCTGGAAGTCTCTGTATTCTATCTTTCTCTTTGAATCCTTGTTGAGGATAATAGTAACGATCATCGTCACCAAACACGTCTTTGATTGTTTCACTGCTTCTGTCAACGGAAGCTCCCCAGAATTTGGCTTTATTCAGATTCTTGAGGGCTTGTTCTTGCCCACTTCTACTTCCATGGCTTTCATTCGGAAAGAGCAGTGTTATTGAGAGAAGGAGAAGGACCCACCAAGTTTCTCTCCCCATTGCGTGTTTGTTTCTTGGGAAGATACCAGTATTCAAAATAACCTCGCAGGGAAAGCTGATGATAAAGAACAGGAAATGAAAGGAATGAAGGAGAAGATGATGGGTTATCTAGCTAGCTAGCTGTGTGTGAATTTATAATGTGAGTAAAAGAGTGGCAACGACTCGAGACTTTTCATTTGGATCCTCATCACATCTAATCTTTTATTTTCTTTTCTTTTCTTTTTTGGATAAGAGTATTCTTCATCAACAATCAATACTAATCTTACAATCTAAAATTAGCGTGAGTGGTGGGAGCTAATGTCATGAGGTTGAGTCTATAACATGTCTTTCACTAACATTTTTTTGTTGTCTCCCACTTTTTCAACTTTTTTTTTTTTAGATTCAGCTTTTACATAAAATAAGAGATATCTTGACCTCTTGGTTTGGAAAAAAAAAAAAAGCACATTAAAAGTCATTAGTCCATGTTACAAAACATGTTACAAGGCATGGTTTGGATGGATGGAAAAGTATGAAAAAAGTATGGAGAAGAGAAAATTGAGAGAAGGAATTTTCAAAAATAATAATTTTTTTTACTATTTTTAAAATTTTTCCTTCTAGTCTTCCTTTCTCATAGTTTTTCTCCCCATCTAAATGAATAGCTAAACACCCTACAATTGGCGGACCTTGTTACTTTTATTTACTAAAAAAAAGAGACTAATCTTATCTAAAATTAGAGAAGAGATGGGGAAAAAAAAAATAATAAGTTGCACTGTTTATAAATTATAAATATTGTAATAACTTTCATGATAAGGGAAGCATATTACTCTATATATTGTAAATATAAAATACTTTAACTGAAGAGACCAAGTCTTATTTTCCATTTATAATAACATAAATATTATAAATTCGCCTATATTTTGACTTAAATTGATCAAACCAATAATTAATTAACCAAAATCAATTTTTTAAACCTTTAACATTGTTGATTATCTTAATTTTCAAAAATTGCAAAATCAATTCCCTTTAAGTGTTTTCGGCCAATTCCCATCCTCTGAAACCATAAAGCATGTCAAAAATGATCAACCATAACAAAACCCTTTACATTATAAATGTACGTAAAAGCCTAAAATAGCCAAAGTGCCGCTTGCATCAAAAGTCAAAAGCGAATGAAAAAGGGACTTTTTGACCAAAATATAATAATTATAATGGCCAAAGCGGAAGATTATAAAAAGAGGGAGGAAAATAATTAAGAATTTATTTAATCCACCAGTAATAAAATCCTAGCCCCGTGTTGGGAATCCGGGCAGTTAATTATTAAAGTTTGATATTTAAAAAAAAAAAATAGAGTGGTACGGACGAGTGTCCTCATACCTGGCCTCTATCTCTTTTAAAAGCAAAGACATTAAAAAAAATAAAAGATTAAAAAAATAAAAATATCTGAAAAATGTAAAATAAAAATCAAAGTTCTTTCAGTGAATTAGTCTAAATTCGCTATTTTGATTTCATCATTTGCAACCCTTAAATCAAGAATTTACGAGCAAAATTCATTATTTATAACTGTATAACCTGTCAAATACAATATTACACGAAAATCTTTTTTCCCCACAAATTAATGAATTTTAATTGCAAATTCATGTTTTGACAATTGCAAATAAATATATAAGGGTAGCAAAAATCTGGAAGTGATGGATGATGTGTTTGATAAGTTTTTTTAACAAATTCACGAATTTCACTAACAAATTTTTATTTTGATAGCTGCCAATCATGATTTGTGAGTAGCAAAATTAAAAACCAATTTACTATGAAATATTTGGTCCTTATTTCTGTTTAATTCAAGCTTGTTATCCTTTAATGTCATTCATTTTTTTAAGAAAAATGGCATTTCGAGACTCTGCAAGCTACCAATTTGAATTGGTTTTAATATGAGGTATTTGGAGGGAAAAAAAAATAATGTAATAGGCAAAGTGGATATATTCTAATATAAAGAGTCAAAGCTAAATTGTCTAGAAGAGCTTTGTGCGTTGGCCATGTGAATTGCAAGTGACTGAATGGTCATTTAATAATAAAACAAATTAAAAGTTCATGGCAGAAAAGGAAAAGGAAAAGGAAAGCACTGTCAAAAAAAATATTAACTTTATTGAAAAATTTCAAACTTTGTGCTTTCATGAATTGCTTTTTAAAGGAGGGAAGTAAAGTTTTGAATATAAAATGATAGAATAATACTCCTTTATCTTAAATTATAAAATATTTTTGAAGGAGTTTTTTTATTTTAAAATATAAGATACTTTAAATAGATTAATATTTCATTAAATGTATCAATGTCAATATTACCTTTTCTCTCTTTATAATTAATTTTTATTCTTGTTATTTTTAATTTATTAAATGATTAATATTTTTAAAAGTTTATATTTTTATTTTAAAAAATAAGGTTGTTAAGTGTATTTAATAAAATTTACTAACATGTAAAATTTTATTTAAAAATATTTTATAATTTGAGATAGAAGAAGTACAACCACTAGTGAAATGCAGACATTTCTTTTATGAATGGACTAATTAATTTAAGTTTCATTTCAGAAAAAAGAGTGGCATCGGTTAGATGTATAGACTTTTTAGCAAGAAGCAAACTTTATTAAAAACAAAGTAAAAAGTTTACAACATTAAAGGCCAAAAAAATAATAACATTATTCCCTTAGGCCTAATACATTGGAAAGAAAAATTAAAAACAAAGTAAAAAGTTTACAACATCAAAGCCCAAAAAAATGATAACATTATTCCCTTAGGCCTAATACATTGGAAAGAAAAGATACAACAACAAAACACAAACCAGCCCAACCAGAACACAAAAACATGAAATATAACCCAAAAACAAAAACCACAGAAAAACGAAAACGACAAAGGAGGGGGGAAAAAAAAACACAACAGCCATAACCAAATTAACAAGTCAACTGATCCTGTGAAAATGCGAATACTAGAGAATTGAACCCAGCAAGCTAACTAGGAAGTGCTTCCAAATCTCCATTTGGACTCGCAGAAGGAGTCGATAGACTATGAAACATAATTTTAATGTTGTAATTACTGTCTGATTATGTCAAAAGATAAGTCTCCTATTTACTCACATGAGAGGAGATCTCTTAGCACTTTTTTAAAAATATTTTTGATAAAAATTCAAAAATATTTATTTAAAAGAACTTAAAAAAACATTTATTTACCTTAGTTTAAATTTAAATTCAAATAATAAATCTATTTCTCTTAATTTTCACATTTCAATATGTTGATTAACTCATTTACAACGTTCACTCTTAATGTTTTATTATTATATTCAAGTGGTGGCATTGTCACTCATTTATCACCTATTATTAATTTTAATGATTAAATAGAAATGCTTTAGTTGAGTTTCAAAATATCAAACAATGGCTTTATCTATACACGTTATTTGCTTTGATGGTTTTAGACGGATTTGCTCCAACATCTAGAAACATACTTCATAAATTATACATATTCTATTACATTGAAATGATAGAATGATAAATTAGAACGGTGGAGTGAAGGTGATTTATTTACTTAGTAATGGTGCTTCTATCGGCATTGTGAAGTTCATGCCTATAAAAATCAGATTGTGTGTGGGAGACAAATATAGTGAAGCTTTTAAGCAACTCTCTTCTTTTCTTGTGTTTTGATTCTTGAGTTTAATTTTTTCTTTGAATTATTTCTACTGTTTTATCATCTTGTCTATTTTTATAGGAAGGTTTCGTTTAATTTCAAGAAGCTCCAATAATTGTAGTGAAATTGCTTTTAAATATAGTGTCCTTAGGCACGACTCAAAACAAGTTCTACATTGCTACTACCAATATTTAATTCCTATAAGAAAAGATAATTTATTGTTTCTAAGAAAATGGAGGTTTGTAAGCAGTCGCATCTTCTTGACTAACCCAACAAGGATGAAAATAGAGTATTCAAAATGCCCAGACTAGCAACTCTACAATTTAGGCCTTTGAGTGACTATCTAAAAACTTAGATACCCATCCTTTTTTTTTCTTTTTTTTTAATGCATGGCTATGAATAAACATGTAAGAAAATGAAATCAAAACATGTGTTGTCTCATAAGGATTCGACACCTTAGAAGTGGATTATCAAAAATCAAAATATCAAAGTTGTTGTTTGGGCAAGCCAATTTGTACATTTATTGGCTTCTTTGAACATATGATCGAAAGGAATCATTCAATCTCTCACAACGATGTCTCTAATTTTCTTCATAGTTTTGGTGAAGGGATGGTTGGGGGTGATGTCGCTCTGAATAAGAGTCAAAGCTTTAAGAGAATCAACATAGACCTTTTCATTAGTGAACTTGTTCCTCCTATAAAGTTTGAGACTTTGAGAATGCCCAAAAGTCCAGTGGCATTGTTGGGATCATAACCAAAGTATTTGAAAAAGTATTTTAACAAGTTACCTTGGTCATCATAAATTAGGCCTCCACAAGTGGCAATACCATTGGTAGAGACTGAGCCATATATGTCTAGTCTAGCCCAACCAGGTTTGGATGGGATCCATCTTGTTAGAGTTCCATCATAGATTAAATCTACATTCTCGAGCCTTGATTGAAGATTAAGATAATTAATAATGTCTTGAGTGCAAGTGAAAATGATATCTCCGACAGGGATATGTTCTTTAGAATTAATTGATTTGCATTGTTTTTTTTCAAATATTCCTGCATAAGTGAGCCAAAAGTTTCTTCCACAAGATTCTTCTAGTATTTGAACCTCCAACATTAATTTTTTTTTTTTGCTTTTCAAAGTATCCAATTCCACGAGGAAATGGAAAAGGAAGTTTTAAGTTTGGAATACTTAATCAATTTCATCCATACTTCCTTTGCCATTGCACAAAATATGGATAGAGGAGTTAGGGTATCACAATTGAAGGGGCAAGTTCTTATGCAAGTGCTTAAATCACTAGCATTAACAAATTTGATGGGGAGGCAATCCCAAGCTGCTTTCTAAAAAAAATATTAATTTTTTTTCATATGTAGGCCATTTTCATATTGTAGACCAAATTTTAGAATCAATATTTCCTCCATGATTTTCAATTGCTTTGTAGGTAAACTTAATAGAGAATTT